TATGCTAGCGTCAAAAGAAAACACGCTTTGTAGTTTAGAGAGGTTTTAACGTAGATGACCACTAGCCGAATATCTCGTTTTTCCGAAACCGAAAATTGAGTGACGATGAGCATGTATTATGCCCTATGCTGGAAACAAAACGAGCTGGTCGCCACTGATGCTAACGTAGTAGAAGGTTTGAAGCTACTCAATTTTAAGTCAATACCGAACATATAGACGATACCAGCGGTATACCTACAAAGGAGAGACCGGGCTGTCCCCAGGGAGCTCGTAGAATAATTAGAATTTCGAACAAATTCAGACTCATCGATAACTGTCTCCGGAAGACCTTAAAAGAAGACTTGTAGCATTATCCTTTATCCAAGTCCAACGAAAAACAGCCATGGGAAACAGCTCTAAGATGGCTGATGAAGTCCAGGAAGAAGCAAGAGCAGAGCTGAGGTGTATTCCGATAATCGAGTTCGGAAACAGTTAGAAAAACCATACACACATCATCCAAGCTGGCGAAAATCGTTTCGAAGAAAGCGACTGATTTGACAGAGCGAAATCTTTAATACCTTTTGAGCTAGTAGCTCTAGTACTAGATTGTATTGCTAGCTGTAAGGGAAAAGCCCATCAGCACGCTTCGCCTCCACTGTATTAACTTTTCCTTTCTTAGCACATACAATTGAATGCACTTCTATGATAAGCTGCTATTTAACTATGCGCCCACATTTAAGATCATTGAACAATGACGCATCGATATGCGGTGTCAAGTAGTGACTAGTATTCCTTTAACTTAAACTAAACTGGAGATTCAGGATTAGGGTTGAGGTCCCTAAGCAGACGATGCGTCAGCCACTGTACCGTACCTTACATATAAGAAATAATGCCTACATTGCACGGACGATCTTACTTCCGCCTACGGGGATAATATCTAATAAATTATCTGTGAAAAAGCGTGCCAGACAGCTGTCTATAAAACTTTCGGCGACGGAAATAACCGACTTACGAAAGAAGATGGCCGGCTTCTTTAAAGCAATGAGTGTTCGTGTTCGGTTAACACCTTTTCAAAAATATCAGTTCAGGAACGCGAGCAGTCAATGAAAGTCGGATCTTCTTGTAACCCTTTGAGAACCGAGCGTGCGCCCAAGAAAAAGGGGGTTGATTTCATTTCAAGGAGAACCTACCGACTACGACATTTTTTATAAAATAAACAGGAAACTACGAGAAGATCTATACCTCAGCAGTGGACGTTGAATGTACAGCCCTGTGGGTAATATCGAGCGCTAAGCAACAATACATCGACACATAGGTGTATAATGAGACTGTTCATGATGCCGTAGCTAAAGTAGGACGTTACGTATGCATAGTTTGATTCATTAAGATGAATCAGACAGTAGCCTGCGCTTAAAAATCCTCTAATAGCTAAGCGATACACGCGTTTAGCCTCGTTCAACACTTACGAGAAGGGTAAACCCGATGTAGAAAATGTGGTAACGTATCTGTGTTTGTAAGGGAACAGCTTTTTTAGCGCTAGCTCGAACGGAGTTAGTTAGGCCAGCGTGCTGCAACAGAAGCTTTCGACTATTTAGATGTTATCGATGGAAGCCCTATAAACGCCGATAATACACACTGATAAAATGAAGACCGGGCTACTTTGACATGGAATATCAATTTTTCTATTTATGCTTGTCCAAAATGTTTACTAGTTTAGCGGTACTAACGAATTGTATGGAAGAAATGAATATTGCAGAAAAAAGCTCATCAAATTGTGAGCTTAGAGCGTGTAAATGATGACCTCTGTATCAAGAAGTGGCTAACTGGCCTGTAGACAACAGCTGCCAAATCAATGAAACAAGTAGCATACGTTAGTGGGTACGATACTGGCTAAAATCAGACGCATGATTGATTATTTACGTTACAATTGACTAACGTGAACATACGCAGTGCATGGACGAATTCAGTTATGGCACGCCGCCTGGTGAGTGTGACGCTGAAGAGATTTTACAAATCCTATCGGAATCAAGCAGTTTGGCTTAACCCAAATAGGCCGCTTGAGGCTCATATGTCTACTATAACTTTAAAAAGGACGTTGACTTTTTTCTTAGTGAAACGGTATATTTTGCTAGCCGCTGCATAGGAAAACCATACAAATCTTATTTCATAGCAAACCTTTCTTAAAAGGCACCTAAAAAAGCTTTAACAACGAGGCGAACTGGTTCGGCCCTGTTGCCCTAGCCGTAGCCCCCTGTAGCCGTAGCGGTTGAATCGTCCACTCTTGTCCTGATATCTAGTACAGAGGATTTTGGGCCTTCATACAGATGATGGACAATGATTTCGCTTATGCCATACGGGGAATATTTACCATTCTCTTATCTTGTCAACAAGTAACCTAACGAACAACGAGCAGCATTGACGTTTCAGCTGAGCGTCTCCATTAAAACAAAATGATAACACGACGACTATTCTTCAAGTTTCGTTTAAGAAACGGGGGTACCCCCCATTTAACTAGCGTTCTATCATATGTTCTATCAAACACACTGAACAAATATCTGGCAAATTTTGATTTTGCAGCGTACCCACGTATATCGCAGTTGGAACCCTGATTACGTACATGTATCCAATGGAACCTGTAGTTATGGTCATCTTACCAGGGCAGTCAAGCCATTCCTTTTGCCGATCAATGGGCAAATTCTGTCAAAGGCATTTCCAATGTCTGACAGTCTAGTTGAACTATAGCAGATGATTCTATGGCCTCAGATTGCCAATGGCACGAGTCGTTCAGTTCTTCCAATGCACGCCATTTTGACACGGGTTGTCTCATATACTTACAAGAACGTACGGATTATAAAAGTGTTGCTCGTTCTATATCCAGCCTAAGTAAACAAGCACGAAACCATATTGAGCTAGCGATAATACGGGCTCCGCCTTTTTATCCCACTCTTTGCTATAACATATTTATGCCATAACAATGATAATGATGATTAATTTGCTACACCACGAGAATTAAAAAAAATATGCACGCACATTGTCAGGTTTCGCCGTATAACCATGATACAGAATTCAATCTGCGCCAAACGTCATTGCGTGGCTACCGCCTCGGTGTTTTCTGCATACTGTTGCTCCTCTAGTAGTCCTAAAAATCCTTCTTTCTTTTCGATTCAAAAGGGCTTACTTCCCCTCAAGCCTTTTTCTCTTGACTTTTGAGAGCGTGCGCGAATCAAAAACTTCTTCGTTTTTTCATATCTTTTATCTCTCTTTCAATAGAACTCATCGTCCTCTCGTTAGGTCGCCCACGTCCACCTGGTCGTTCTGGCCTCTCAGCTTCTCTATGCCCGCTCAACAGTGTAGGTGCCATTTTTGCCAGCCATGCAATGGAAGGACAACAAACTAGTTCCTCAAAATATCTAGTCTTACTCCTTCTTTTCTTTCGCCTCTCGATCGACGAACAACTCGCACAATCTTGTATTCCTTGCCTCTTCTTCACTGATTTCTATATGTGCTGCTTCTTTCTTCATTTCGGCACCACATGCCATTGCCAATACTACTATCAGCAGTCAGTATTTCCTCTCGTTCCTTCGTTTCTCCAAGAGAAAGAACACCCAACTGTAGAAACGCTGATACAAACAGTGTGATTATAAATTTACGAGATAACGACTGACTGTGCGCGCTGCGTTCAGCTGGTCATCACTCTGCTCGAGGGGCATACCAAGGGCGAAAAACGTCAAGGAAGGGAGAGGGAAGTCGTTCAATCAACTAAAATTGAGCTACAAATAGGCTTCTCGTAGCAGATGTGTATGGATTTCATCCTGTTTTTCTTATTAACCTTAAAGAGAGAGAGAGAGAGAGAGAGAGAGAGAGAGAGAGAGAGAGGCGCACATACTAGGGAAACCATTTAGCAATGAGTGTCTGGACATGTATGTCGCGTATATCTAAAATAAAAAAATGTCGGACACGTCTTTTTTAAACTTAATTTATTTCATGTCTGTGCATTGTTGGTCACCATTAGTGAGTGTTTATTCTCGTAGATTTGTTTACCCCCATGATTTTTTATCGCCTCCTATTTAGTCAGTTCTGGAGGCCCACCAATAGTCGGCCGAGCCCAGCTATTGTGCGATATGAGCACTAGATTGGCACAGCATATTTACAACAGGATACGCGATAAAGTGAAGACCCAACAGTGCCAGTGTAACATTATAGGATTCTCATAGACAGAAGAAGCCACAACAACAGTAGGATTGGGGTGACTAGGACAGTGGCGCACAGTGGGCACTTTTTTTTCCATTTTCAAGCTCTACTGCCAGTTTTCCCCATACACAGCCCATTCCCCTTGATCTGACCCTTCCACCAGAACTTACCGGGTGCCGCCCTCTTCAGTTGGTTGTGGAAATGAACTTTGTTTCATCTTTTATCGTCTCGGTTTGCTTTTCGTAGACCGAGGATCCAACAAAAGCGTGACTCTGTGCTTCGGCAAATTCAATCGAAAGCGTTAGCAAAAGTTTAAAACGCCGAGGAACAAGCGAGAGGGAAGGGAATAGCCGATGGAAAGCAAAAAGACAGCCATAAAGGCAGGCCGCGATCGATCATCTGCAATATGTACCAGCGAGACATTGGAGTCAATGCTCTGTTTTGTGCCTGGCCTCCAAGTTTGAAAAAATAGCTTGAAGGAACACCGAATGTGTTTGAGCGTTGTATATTCATTGCATTATAACATCCAAGAGTTTGTAGCTTTTTTTTCGCCTTCTAAGAACTTCTTGCCTCTAATATACTCCGATAAGCTATTGCTATGTCGAATCATCGTGACGAGCCATTTTCTACTTATCAGCAACCCTATTTCATGTTCGACAACTCAGCCGTATACGTTCAACTGCTAAACCCTTGCGCGTTTCATACTCCCTTTTTCCGCGTTTTATGTGTTCCACTTCATTATAGCTTCTATGCTACGGTTATTGCTATCATAATCGTTATTTCGCCGACTGAATGTTTCTTTCCAAACGAGACTATTTCGGCCACTGCCACCTTTTCCCCTGCGTTTCACAGTGAAAACGCAGTTTGTAGGCTATTTGCGATTTACGGAAAATGAAAAAATCAATAAGAACTGAGAAAGAACAAATATGAACTGAGAGAATCAGAATTTTCGATTCGAAAGCGACATTGAGCTACGAAACTTAACTCCTAGACACTTGTCCCTCATTGCGTCCGTTCAAGGTAAACGAGACTTCTAATAATGATGAAATCTGTAGTTAGTTGAGCTCAGAAAGTTGTCGTCTGAAGCAGCTATCAGTCATGGATTTAAAAGCTTTTATAGTGGACACATGTCATCAACGGGGAATCATCTACTAGAACCCTACTCGACTTAAAGTATGTTTCATTAAGCGAATATCTTCGTAGAGGTTTTCTTCACTATAAACAGTTTAAATAAAATATACCACGGTAGATCAAAACGAATTTTTATGCGTTGATAATTATATGGTTGGTTCAATTGCTTGTTTCAGACAAGACCGCTGATGAGATTATGCGTAATTATTCCAAAGGCATGGCTTTTGTTTTGAAGAGAACGCCATCTCCGTTTGCCGTTATCAGTTCAATAGTGGGCCCCCAGATATAAAATGATAGAAGCAGAAACGATTTTTTATGAAGTCTTAGTCTTCCGGTTTGTAACCATCACCGAATTAAATCATAATCATCATGTAAAGTTGTGGAAATGAGTGAGCTGTTTGCCACATACGTTATGCTACTTTAAGTTCTGTTGCGCTCGTTCGTATTCTCCAACCTTGCATATGCTGCCCATTGTACTCGTTTTATCACGCAGAAGAACCCGTCTCCAAAGACCAGGTTGTAATCTGTATATGAGCAGGCACGTTTATGCAGTTTTTTCTAGAGAGTCGGTGCAACTTGTTTCGTGTATCGTTGAGTAGTCGAGTAAAGAAACTTGCTCTAGATTATATCATCCTCGCGTGACTCTGACTGATTTAGTTCAAAAAAATCCTGTTGCGTCATCGGACCAGGGCCACCACGGAACGAAGCAAGTGCTGACACTTCCTCCTGATCAGGTTTTGTTTTTAATGGGCACAATAATAAACGCTCATCGTGCGTCCTGGTCGTCGCACAAAATCGCCGTTCAGGAAGAAACTAAGTTCGAGCGGGTGTTTCGGTGTGGCCTCTGTGCGAGTATGCGACAGTGTGAGAGAATATCGCGTCCACATCTGGATCCAACAGGACCAGAAAATATTAGGCACGGATACAGGCTAGACTGAATTCGTATTGCCGATCCTCATAGGCGAGCGTAAGTAAATCTAAATAACACTGCAAACGTATTAATATAAAAAAGTTTGATATAACCCGAGTGGATGAATTTCAGTAATACGCTTAGTAAAGAAAAAAGAAACAGGGTAAACGTTAAGCGGCAAGCGTCATTAACGAGTAGATGTATGGGCAGGTGACGTGAATAACGTAGCCCTTTCCTTCAAGCATAAAAATCGTTGCATAAAAGATAGTTCTGAAGCGATTCGAGGTTAACGGAGACCTGGTGATTTTGATTTCATTTTCATTTCGAGGCACTGTCAATGACAGGAATTTCATAAACATGTTTAGTATTTTGAACGACGATGACTTTCTGTCCTTTCCTTTTGGAAATAACCCAGCATATGGCCTTCGAATAGTTCTACGAACAGGCAAAATAGCTGGCTCGACGCTCCAGCCACAACAACTGAGCCATTAAATCTGATTCTACTTTACTATCGCCGACTCTTGACCTATTTCACTGAGTGACCTCTATAAGATGGGCTATTTTTACCTCTTCGCTTTCTTGACACTAGCTGTCGAATCCTCAAAAGGAAAAAGGACTACCGTCGAAGCTTTCTACGGGTTTCCGGTGCCGCCTTCTGTATCGGTCAGTTACTGACTACATTAAGCTTTTTAATAATTTCCAGGCATTCTACCGAGTGGACAGATGAGCTTAACTATCACAGACGTAGACGACTTCCGACGAACCAGTGTCGGGCACTACATGCCAATCGTTTCACTGTCGGGCACCTACTCTAATGGATGGATTGAGTCTTATCGTTAACAGACCTCAGCAGTTGCGTCTTCGGATTACTCGAAAAGCAACTTCAACCTATAAACATGTTACTGTCTAAGTACTAATGCAGTTGGATGGAGCAAGCCTTCTGGCCCGTCGCAACTCGGGTTCGAGTCGATGTAGCAGTTTTCGCCTTTAAAAATCGTCCAACAGCGCGCACAAACAATATATAAGAGTACGTCTTAGAATTGTGCTTTAACTACGAGAATAACTAAATTCAGTAGAACTTACCGGTGTGCTTCGTTTCCACTCGCCGAATAACCTATGAGATGGGTAATATTTTTTTTTATGAATACTATGGTTTATATCCTTTGAAGGAATCCAATTGAGTACAGAATTGTTCTTTTTATCGATGTTCGATCGCTTCATTATCAGCCGTTTCTAGTCCTTTGCTAAGACTAAAATAAAAACAAGACTAAGCAGAATGCTGCGAGCCAGATTACGCGATAGCCGTATGTTCGTTACGTATGTAAACGCATGCGTTAAGTGAAGATAGCATCATTGATATATAACCACTTATACCGTTTGCGGATTGTTAATGTCTTCCTGGTCATAAGCCTCGTAGTGTAGGTACATTTTGCACAACGCTTGGGTTAAATACAATGCCAAAACGAATTTCAGGCATGCTGGCAGAAGGGAGGCACCCGTTTATGGCTGCAACTACCGAAACATGCTGGGAAAATACTATCTTGTCCATGATGGCTTTGTTACAGCGCAACGCATAAGAGATATCTCGACTGTAGCAAAGCGTTATTACTTCTACTTCGCAGACCATCCAACGATAGTTACCTCAGCTCGTACTCGTACATACAGGACACTCTAATACCCAAGATCAAGCCTTCGCCAAAGGGCTTAGTCATCAATGACGAATTTTTTCAATAGGACCATTGATTGCCGAGATCCATTTTACGCTTTACAGTTGAAATTTATTTACTTGGAAGATATCATATTGGGGTCGGTGTGTCATTTAGCAAGCGGTTACTTTTCGACCAATGCGAGAATCATAAAATATTTTTTTCAATCGAAGTCACCTGCTGATATTCAGAGCTAGAGTATGTATTGGGGTTTATGATCAATGGTGGCGACTTTTCGAATTATTCTAAGACGAGCTATTAGTGTTAAGTCTATAAGAAAATAATACGTTGTAGCGCCTCTCAGACTGAAGTCTGTTTCAGCGTTTCATTGATCTCATTCGCTAGTGACCTACTAAATGAAAGGAGAGAATTTCAACTTCATGTGTAGACCGTCACGTAGATTCTTACGCAGTTTCGCTTCAAATTGGAGAAGAATCACAATAACTTAATAGTTGATTTATTACTGATTATTGTAAGTTAACTGCCTATAAAAGTCTTGAAAAGGCCGTCACTTTGAACAGCTGTCTAAATGTTATGATTGCTTGAAGGTTACTTAAGCCGTCGGATCCACGACGATAGCTTATACGTGTAAAACCCGCGTAGCAAGATAGCATTTATCCACTTCACGCGTCTGTAAAATGAAACAACAGTCAACGTTACGATATAACTTTCAACAACTTTCGTTTCCGCATGAAAAGATGCACATCAGGCGCTGTTTGTCGACCTAGCTGGGTATATGGCTGACACAAACGCAACACATTTTCTGTCACTTACGAGCGGACGACGAGAACCGCCTTTCCAAAGCGTTCGAGTGTTTTGTTACAATAAACTTGCACCCGTGTGGATGCTGCGATTCATCTTATCCTCAACGACGCCATCACGTTTTCGTTCACCAACCTCTGAACACTCTTTCCCATCTATTCTTTCCTCGTTTGTACAGGGGCAAATACGCGCGATTAAGTGTCCGGCTCAGTTCGTTTCCTTAGAGAATCTTGCATCCTCTGTTGTCGCCCTTCCCGTACCTACATCCGCGTCGTTCCACTCCTTTCGCCCTTTTCTTGTCTGAGTCTCCCGTACGCCGTTTGGACACACGAACTCGTGAACAGACATCGCCTCGGGTCACTGTATTACCACGTGTCCCTCTAGACACGCTTCTGTTTCCTGGACGGGCGAGCCGGATCAGCCGCGCTACCTAAACTTCACGGCACCACTACCGCCAGCGTTTAATGAGCGGCTCAGAAGCGATTCGCGTCAACTCGTCGTCCCGTCTCTAACTGTGTTCTGTATGGTGTGCTATCATCACTATAGTAGCTTTGTATCGAAGTCCCTTTCACCGGACCCACAGCGGATCGTCCAACAGGCTTGGACTTATATAGAACAGAGTTGACAGTTGGCATTAGCAAACGTTTACAAGCACCACGGCTTAATGCGAGTATGTGCGAGCGGAACTGATGGAAACTCGGGAACGGCGACTTTATTAGAGGTTTCTACCATAACTGCAGACGACATGAAGCGCCTCTAGCACTAGCAGCATTATTATCAGTCCTAGTAATCGGATGTTGTCCTGACAGACGATGAATTACTATCGAGATGTGAACAGCGCTGAGAAAAGGCTTTCATACTTTAGGAGCATCAAATTGAACTTGAGGGTGCGCATGTGTTAGTTGGGAAAAGTTAGCTTAAAAATAACAAAAATTATAATACTACTCGGTTAAATATGCACAATAGGCAAACTAAACGATTCATCATAGCTTTGAAACACCGTTACATTTTAAGCACTAGATATCGAGAAGGTGCATTACGAAGAAATATATATGATGATGAGTCCATTGCATCTGTTACTCACGATCTGGCACACTCTATAGGAAGTTCACGCTAAATTTTGTATCTCATTTATAGACGTCTACAACCCACACCCAGAAGACTCCTTTTGAAAGAGAAGTCGATTCTGTTATTACTATTACGACGAGGCATAGATTATGTATCATAGTGTTTGCAAACAGTAGTTATTAAGACTTGCTGATACATCTTGATAAAATTCAACTATATGAGGATGAGAAAAAAGCAGATAAGAGTGATTCGTTTGGGTTGGAAAGTGGAAAGGGTTGGGGGGCGCAAGGGCTGGAAAAACCTAGGCTTAGGTTGACATCAAGTTAGGAAAGGAGCTAGCTAATGATTGTTCCTATGCACGGGACTGTATACAAATCGTAATTATTAAGGTGTGGTTGTAACGTAATCGAACGGAGTTTAAAATGGTAAACGTGTGACATTCTCTATTGGAGTTTCCAGCTGTAATATCACACACAGCAAAGCTGACAGATAGCATAGCACGATGCATAGTTGTCCATAACGTGACGCTGATCTGTCACACTGTATTTTTCAATTTTAGCGCCCATAGCAGTGTATAAGCAGTATTTAGAAAACGCACATATACGAACGAAATAAGTATGTCAATCATAACACAAACCTCATTGCGATTAATTAATACGCTTAGACTGTCGTTATAGACCAATCAATATACCTTAAGATTTCCTTGGATCTGAGTAATTATTCATCTACTAACCTCCACCCATTTCCTTCGAAATATTAGTGTATCTTGATGATACTAATCGTAATGTTCTAAAACATATTACTGCACACCTCGCCACGATCGCAGTACATGTCTAGCTCTCTTGTGTACGACTTGTTTAGGTTTTTCATTTATCGTTAATAATTACTCTATATGAGAATCTTCACGCAGATACATATGTAGGTGTGTGAACTCTGGCTTTTTCCGAATGTTTGCTACGACCTGCGTTTCCGTGACGATATATATCGTACTTTTGTATTACATTGTTATTGCAGTTGTTGTCTCGTTATTCTTCAACGTTGATGTGGCGTTACCATTACCGCTGACGTACGCCGAAAGATAGAGCGAGAAAGAAACAGAGCGAATTGACTCGGTTGAAGGAAGCCTAGATGGCGCAAAAATCCAATCAAATACTGCCTGAAGCATCAAAAGCGAGCGATAAAAGCCATTCCATTCGAAGTTCGTATTCAATGTCGTTCTCAGCCAACTCAGGGACCGCTAGGCTGAATGGACCTTCGAAACTATTCATCTTACTGCTTGCTACTGCTTCTGTTGCAGCCGATGGAACGTTCGCCGAGCTCCATTGGCCGTTGTTTGCGGGTCATATCTGCTGTTCGCCCCCATGCTGCTGTTGTTTTCGATTAACTTCAGCGCTGCTATAACTATCGTCAGCGGAATTCCCTTTCGAATCCGTGTTTCTTTCCTTGTGAAAAATAAGCAATGAGACGAGGGAGCGGTTGCAGTCCGCCATCTTCCTGCACGAGCCCAACGTGTTTGTGCATTGCAACATGGTTGGAAGGGGTGACCACGCCTCCCCGTCAGTCGAATAAGTTTAGTGCACTTTTGCTTCCCATCCGACCTCTCACAGGGAGAAGTGGAACCCTAAGAGGAAATGGTTAGTGCTATTACAATAAGAATCGCGCGATCGCCCTATATTCTCCCCCTAATCGGTTAGCCTTCCGGGAGACTGGGCCGTCGCTTTTAAGTGCCTCATTTGTGTGCGGCGCTGCTCTGATGTCAGACGCGTGCGTGTCTCCCGCTCTTCCAGTAGAAGCTACGATAGCTGTAGGAATAGCGACGTTTGGGGGTTTGCTTAGACGCCATTTTCTCAATTCGTCCATATTTCATGTGTGCATTCGACCCCTATATAACAGGCAGTAGCAGTTTCAGTAGTAATAGTAAAAAGGCGTCGATTGGTTCAGCAAATCCATAAATTATGGCAACAACGACAACAAAAGCAACATTCAGCAGCCGCACTATTTCCAGCTTTGATTATTACAATATTTTGTTGTTGTGAACGGCACCACATACTGATACCTGTAAAGATATATGCTTATATGTTTGACAGTGTGCATTTGCGTAGTATATTCCGCTTGTTCTTTTTATCTATTAGTCCCGCCCAAAAAGTACGCGACTCCAGGTCAGTAACGGAAACCTGTTCAGTGTCGCCATCTATATGGCGTGATGCACGGAACGAGAGCATGCCTGAGGTGGCAGGAATTCTTTATCGTAGAGCCTCTACTGACCAGTTATATATATATATATACATATAGATAATAAATACTCGGAAAACAGGCTCATCAATGGAATCAGTAGCGACAACGAATCAATATTTTGTGTCACCTGGATGTTATAATGTGACAACATGCGGGACCGGGTGAGCGTACTGTGATTTGGGGCACGCTCGAATGTATGCAAAATGCGGTCTTCTAGTAGTTGTTCAGCCTATTTTTATACGGCAGACGAACGAGGATAAGACGATAGCTGTTGGGGCATCAAGGACCTGTGAGGTGCCTCTATTATAATTCGAACGTTGTCATAATACGGGCATGTAGCGACTAAGTAGCAAATGCATTGCCCCAAAGAAATACACAGGAGGTGATATGGAATACAATAAACCAATATTTCCATTAAAGTTGCGTACCTTAAGATGATTTATGTTATTTTTTATTTCCGTGCTCTTCAGTGGTCACCAATATTATTTGCAATGCGGTATGCACATAACAATAGCATGTTAAAATAACCTCTCAATTAATAGCAAAACTTTGAAAAGTTTTGCCTTTATTGTCAGGGTCTGACAACCTACGATAGGACTCTTTCGAAATATTTAAACGTAGATCCGACGAGGAAAGGGATGTTTATTTATTTTTGTATTGTGTCTGATTGATACTTTTATAATCTAGATTTGGCATACATATAGATATAATACTATATTTCTAAAATTGTTTGTTTTTACTAAAATGACTGACATTTTAATAAATCAAACATCATTTATCTTCGGTTATAACCGGCTATTGTTTAAGTCTAACAGCTGCCCAATAGCGCTTAGATTTGTACCTATTTCTATCCTCACTTGAATACGGTGTCAGCACCATACATTTACATCATCAATAAATTTAACATTGCTTATAGCGAAAGCAGTAACTGCAACAGTCGACCGGAACCCTTCTATAAATTCTTACCCCTTTTACCTCGTCTGATTGCGATTGCGTTCTAAACTAGGTAGCTGCCTGTTAATCGTTGGTCTACTGTTAACCAAATCGCTTGTCCGGCTATCACTAGGTTCATCTTTGAAGCGTACGTAAAGCTAATGGCAGAAGGAGCGTAGTGGTCATCCAGATTGGTAAAGGCATTACTCCTTGCCCCGTTTGTCGG